AAACTTGGTACAATCAAGAATGATCAAAAAAGAAAGAAAAAAAGTTGTTAATAAAATGATTTTATTAAGAATTTTTTTTTTTTTAAACTAAAGGAAAATTTTTTTTTTTTAAATTTGAGAAGTAGAAAAAAAGTAAAAAAAAATCCAGATTTGAAAACCCAAAATTTTTATCAATGTCAATAGAAAAGCATTAGAAAAGAGAGGACCAGGTATTCAATGTTTTTTTTTTTTTTTTCTCCAATGTGGTTTAACAATATATCATATGCAATTATCTTCACAAAAGATTGATTTCTGTACAACTTCAAATCCTTCTACTCATAATTCTATCTCAAATTCCAAGTCCTTAGTAAATTGGTTTTCATTTTAGATTACTAAGGGAACCCAAGTTTTCAAGTCAAAACATCATCTGCTTTGCAGTTTCCCAAATATTTTAACAAATCTATGATGAGGTCAACATATTTAAAACAGCTCATTCTTTGAATTTTATTAAGAGAGAAAGAGAAATTTCTTATATTTGCTGGCATATAAGATGTATGTTCAAAAATAAAGAAAAACCTATTCAAATGTTACATACTAGCGCATTAGAAAGTGTAAGGGACCATCTACTGAAGTTCAAAATAGACTGTTATGTGGTTTGAATGAATTGTAGTGAGCAGTAGTTCCCAAAATATTCCTGAAAACCAAGCATTTTATAGGCTGGCAAATATAGTAATTTTTAAGTTTTCAATATATAAAATAAAGGAATGGGTTCTTTACATGCTTCAAAGTCAGGTTTTAGATTTTAAGGTGTGAAATGTTTTTTTTTTTTTTTGAGGTACTTAATGATCTCATGAAGAAACATTGATTGAATGAATAGTCCTTTCTTGTAAGAAAAAAAAAATGATGTCCATTTCAAGTTAGGTTATAAAAATATGACAAATTGGCAGTTATATAGGGTATGACTTAAAAATGGTTTCCAAATTAATGTTATGATGAGGGCTTTGTGATCATTACCTTTTAGGATTTTTTTTTTTTTTTTAATAAACAAATGAATCACATTGGATAAGACTTGTTTAAGATTTGAACTCACTATATTTCAAAGCATATTTTTAAAATCATTCCCAGATAACAACTTTGGTCAACTGGAGACATCAAATGAAAAAAGAGGCATGAACTCAAAAGAAATTAGCTTGATTAAAAACAAATCAGTATGAAGTGTTTAGTTGTGTTATGTATCCAAGTGATTTAGATAGGCAAAGAGAATATACTGAAATTAAGTTGACACCAGAAAGGGTAATTAATAAAAAGAGGAAAAAGAAAAAAAAAAAACCTAAAAAGAAATACAAGAAATATAAGTGTGTGCCTGATAAAAATCAGGTCAACTCCAAAACAGAGAAAAATTTTTTCTACCAAAATAAAGAATATACTTTTCAAATTAAGTGATATCTGTTTGTTTTAATAAAATGGAAAATTTGGAAAACATAACACGTTGCACAAAGTTGTTATTCAATGGACAGCATTTATAAGAGACATTTTCTTTCACGCAAAAAGACAACAAATATTTGAACTATGCATAGGAATAAATTAAAAAGTTCACTGAGAAGCTTGACAAATCGATGTGGTCAGGTTTTATTAAATTTCATGAATTCTTTTTATGCAAAGTAATCTAGTAAGGATAATTAATCTTAAATACAATAGTTGTTACATTGAGTGTATGAAATGTGCATTCAAAGGTGCCAACTATTGTGGGATAGAGAAAGTATTTTAATTAATTAAATGAAGCATTATCTCGATTATTTATTTTTCAGGTAGTATTATTTCTAATTTTAAATTGAGTTGATTTTCATCCTAACTAAACCTGTTACTCTAGTCAATTAAGAAACTTGGATCAGAAATAAATCTGGTTTGAGATTTGAACTTGCATTCTTTTTCAAGTTGCTAGTTGGATTAGTGTTAATACATACTGTTAGGGTAACAAATATTGGCACAGAAATTTGAATCAGTAAACAGCGTTCAAATCCTGGCCTTTTCTATTCATGTTTGCACTAAAGCCCTTCGGAAAGATCTACTTCTTTCCTTACTCCAGGAATAGGTTAAATAGCAGAGTAGATTGGGCTCTCTAGCCTTGGTTGGAAACTAGTTTAACAGAAGGAAAACTATGAAATCCAAACTGCAGGAGGCAATAGGAAACCACACCACTATCTTTCTCATGAAGGTGTGGCAATTCACAGATGAGACAACAAATCTGTGGAGTTGCTATAAAAAAAAAAAAAAAAAAAAAAAAAAGTGGCTAAGGAAAAATAAAATTGCTATATTTGAACAACTGCAGCTGGTCTTCTTGGCCTCATCAGTAAAGCAGCTGTTGTGTTAAAGAAGAAGAATTTGAATTTGAGGATTTTTTTATACTCACCTTGGTTACTTGATTACTAAAATAATTAAAAAAAAAAAAAAAAAAAAAAAAAAAGCTGAAATTAGGATGGCAGTACGAGTTGAAAAATCTATCAATAAAGCCCATTTTGTGTGTGTGAGCTTACATTCACACTTAAGTGTAGGTAATATTTTAAGTGTTGCAGTAATCAAAACATGCGGATTACTCATTTTCTTTTGGTTGTCTCTTACTATTGCTATTGAGTTTTATTTATAGTAGAAAATAATTATTTATGAAAATTCATGGCCTATATAACAAAATGATGACTTGCAGATTTTGTTATACTATATAATAACATATGTGTATGAGAAGGGGGGGTGCTGGAGAGAAAATGCATGTGACATAGAAGATTTAAGGTAAAGCACAACTTATTAATAACAAAACACCTTGACTATTTCACCCAAATGGGAAACCAAATTTAAAGAAGCCTGCATAGTGCCTTACTGGTACACCAATTTTTACCGCAAAGGATTTTCAGGATGCAAATGCTAAAACACAGGTTTGCAAATAAATGAAATGGTAAAACCTACTGCCTATATGCTTCTTTTGACAACATGGAGGAGAAAAAAAAAAAAAAAAAAAATGGAAGAATGAATAGACATACTTTTATTTCAAGAGGTAGATGTAAATAATTCAGAATGTTTAAGCCAAGTGTGTTAAAATGGAAAATGCCAGAATATAATTGGATTGATTGATAGATAAAAATTTGGGGTTGGAATAATGAACACATTCATTTATTCCAAGAGGTAGAGAACTAGACAAAGGAGGAGTTTTAAATTCCCTGAGTTATTTTCTATATCCACATACACTCATGAAGTTTATATATATATATATATATATATATATATATATATATATATAGATAAAGAACAAATAGGAAACCTCATCTTATCCTGTCGGATTCTGATCTATAGTTGATTTTTAACTCTCCATCAATTGTATTTCTTTCTTTTTGTTTTTTTTTTTAAATATATCTACCAAGAATTATTGACTTTATTTTTTAAAGTCTCAATTTATTTTAGTAACTTGTTATCTTCACCAACCTGAAATTTAAAATGTAACTTATAAAACAATTGGGACCTCTAACCTATTGTCCTAAGGCAACAGATAAAGTGCGTTTGTTATCACACACTTTTTAGTAAACAAAAACTGAAAATCAAAGTATATATGTAAATAGAGAAGTAAGGAACCCTACAAAAGAGAGGAGATAGAAACAAGAAATGGTTGAAAGGAATGACCATTCGTTCTTATCAAATATACAGTTTATTGAAAATTTTAGTAATTATAATCAACATGAAGCAACATATTAGCACACTAATAAATCTTATTTCTCTTAAAAAAACCACAAACAAGAACTTTAAGCACCAATTAACTGATTTCGTTTGTAGGAGTCTAGACTCTGAGAAATATGCTGTTTTTTCTAACAATTACTTTTTATCTATAATAAAAAGGAAAAAGGAGCAACTTGAAATGTTAGTATTTCTCTGTATGAGAGAGAATTATATTTCCCTCAAAATTTTAGCGTTCTCCAATGTTTCTACCATAATATAGATGTTTTGTTGTTTACCTTCTATGAAAGATGCACATTCAAATAATTAGCTTCACATCTTAAAAAAATGTTATTAAATGAGGATGTAATTCTAAAAACTTTTTTTTTTAAATCATTAATTTTGAAGAACAGTTTGGTTTCTGAAATCAGGCAGTGTTTGCACATTATTTTTGGGCAAATTAAAATTGGGAATCCATTTTGCTATGTAACCGGTTTAAATGCTTTAAAGATTCTTTTTAGAAACAAAGTAACTGAAATTGATATAGCCTTACAAAGCATTATCTCCATCTGATGAACCAACAGATTTCAATTGATAATGCTGATATTGAAATCACATTGGCTACAATATGTTAAATACAAAATGTATTCTGCAACTTTTATTTATGATAAAAGGTAATTAAATACTGTTAGTTATGTAGGTTGGTATTTGCGAAATGGTTTCCTTGTGTGAATTTTGTGATAGGCTCTTTAAGCATAATGAGATAAATGATATGATTATATAATAGCAAGTCGAATTTTTATTAAAATTAAAAAATTGTTTTATAGAATTTTGTAGAAAGGCAGTGATTTAAGGTTAGTGAGATTTGAAGAAAGAGATATGGCAGATAAAAACAAACCCCAGAAAATGACTTCTTTCTATTGGAATGTATCAACAAATTTTAATTTATTAACAAAATAAGACTGAAGATTTGCTGCTGATCAAATTTATTTCCTTGTCACTGTGCCTTATTTGGGGAGAAAAAAAAAATTCTAACGGAGTGAGAAATGTGTTGAGTTGAAGTAAAGTGAAGATTTATTTGGTATTTAAAATATATTGTTGTTTTGCTATCAGATAAGTATAAACATCTGAATAAGGTGGGGAGGATATTTTTTTATCCAAACTTTTATTTGACATTGATAAAAATTAGACAAAGCTCAGAGTTAAAAATATGCATGCACATTGAACATATAAAAATACACACGCACATACATTAAGTGAAGTCAACAGGTAAAGGGAGATATTTTGAAAAACATCTGTGTCCAAGCATAATAAGGCTGTTTTGACTAATCACTGTCCTCATCAGAATTACCACTGGCCTTCTGGGGACTGCTGCCACCACCACCACCTCCTCCTCCGCTACCCGCTCCTTCAGCATCACTGTCACTGTCACTTGCCAGACGCCGACGACCACGACTGCCTCCACCTCCGCCTGAGGCATCACTCTCAGCACCACTTTCAGCTCCAGAAGATGCTGCACTGCGTTGCCCTCCACTAGCTCCACTATCACCACCACCACCTCCATCACTCTCACTATCTGAACGAGGACGACTTCGACCAGCTTTGTGGGATGAAGGCTCTTCATCACTGTCACTGCCTGATGACAAGATACGTCGTTGGCTTCCTCCTTTTGTGTCACTGTCACTTCCACTAGCCCTGATTAAAATATAGATTTAAAAAAAAAAAAAAAAAAAAAAAAAAAAAAAAAATGTTGTTAAAAAAATTAAAAAAAAAAAAAAAAAAAAAAAGAAATCATTCATTTCACCTCAAGCAAGGCAATAAAGCCATTAAGACACAATGGGGTTGCTGATTGTGAAAGAAAAGGAGAAAAAGAAAACATTAAGGAGAGAGAACAATAAAAGAACAAGTATTAAGATAGAGGATTGACATTGCATTTAAATTTTTGAAGATCCCAAGTTGATTGGAAAGCAAGAATGTGAAAGAGTTCCACAAGTGAGAAGTGCAAGAGAAGAAACTGTTAGCATAGAACTTACAATTGCATTTAGCCAGTCCAATTGTAAAATAATGCACATGTGAGAAATAGAGAAAAAAAATTCTAAAAAGTTATTCAAAATGATTGAAAAAAAAAAAAAAAAAAAAAAAAAAATGTTCATTAAATCTTAGGAAATATCCACTTTCTTGAACCAATTCGCCATTCCCTTAATTCAAGCCCACTTCTTTCTTGTCATCAAAGAAACCACTGATACCATTATCTGTCTTAAAAAGTGGTTATGTTTTTGAATATCATGTTCTGCTATCATCAGTGCCTGACTCTGCAGTAATAGTCAAGTGATTTGTGGATTGAGATTGCAAAGAAAAACTATTGTAAAATAAATTTTAAAACTTCTGGGGAAGATGTTCAACTGTATTAAAAATTTTTTTTTTTTTTTTTAATGAGAAGTGAATTTTGAAAGTAGCCAAATCACAGTTAAAAACATTTTCTTCTGTAATCATTCTTTTTAAGAATCATAAAAAAGTGCCCCTCCCCCTAAATAACAGAAAAGAAAATATTTAAAACTATATATATTTTTTCAAGCCTCAATGAGTATGCAAATACACTAGCTTTGTGTGAGATTAAGTTAGGTAAGTATATCTCATATAATGACTACATATGATATTCTATACATGTGGGACTTGGGATATTTATTTCCTCCACCAACAAAGTTGGATGAAAGTTATGTATTTTGACCCATGTTTGTGCATATAGTATACTTATAGCATATTGTTGGCCAAAGAATAATTTTAGGGGGCAGATACATTTT